CAGTAGTTCGTGAGCCTCCCTTATTAAAGTCATCTTTGGGGAGCAACACATTCTGCACATCCAGTGGGAAGTTGGAGCACTACAAGGTTTGTATGCAGCTGGACGTAATCCAGTACACATCTTATGATACCACTTTTTACAGTTATTACACTGTATTCCATCATCTACCAAAAAGTAACACTCCACCCTATTACATTTATGTGGTACTTTTGACACAATGAACTTCTACTGGAAACAGCCAAGACAATTTACCCAATAAAGACTATATAAATGTTTCAAATAAAAACTTAACAGACAAAAGTGAAGTTAAAGGTTTTTTTAAATGTTCTCGAAGTGAATAACACAACAAAAACAGCAATTTGTCAAATACGTGAAAATACGTGAAAAAAGCACTCCCTATATATATATATATATGCTACTGTACAACTTGAGAATGTTATCGTTGAAAAGAGTAACCTCTCACTGAACGCCTTTTATTTCATATGACTAATAAATGCCTAGTGGATGACACTCGATGAAACACTGGAATCCGTGAAGACTATGAATTTTGCAGTGTTCACGCATAGTACATGACACCAGCTAATCACAATAAGTGAAGACAAGAAAATTAATAGCGCGGAAGCAACTGTTTGAAAGCATATCTCGTCCTCGGAAGCGTAGTGCAGAGGGCAAAATATTATTAAACCTAATCATCTTACGCCATAACACGCTGGGATGGGTAACTACAAGTCTTTCGCATATTTTTGACGTCTGAAAATGAAATGCACACCGAAACGTGTCGATACAAAGGAAGAAGTATTGACTCCTTATCTTAACGATAGTAGTAGACAACTATTTAAGGATCCCTAACTTAACTGGTCTTCTCGTGACTGTTTCATCTTAGAATTATTTTTTAGTAACTGGTTGAGATTTACGAGGACCCACCAACACAATTCCAAAAAAACCAATGACAGTATAGAAACATATTCGGTAAGGTATAACTTGAAAAGCATGCAACACTTAAGTATCACACTGAGAGACATGTCCATCACCTTAAGTTACAAAGTGTAGATTCAGTGATACATTCTCCTGAGATCATTTTAGCTGATAAAACTTGACGAGAGTAAACGAATGTTGTAAACATTCTAAACAGTAATGACAATCAGTTTTAAACACCCACTATCGAAGAAGAGAATACACATTTTAATAAATAAACACTTGCATTTTTATAACTCATTATATCTGAAAACTCAGATATAAAATCTATACAAATACATCACTGAGTTAATCTAACCGTTCTCCAAAATATGAAGTTGTTTAATCCATAATAAGAGGTGATCAAACGACATATTATGACTATGATCAGTCTTATGTTTTGATGTGCCATTGGCCTGTGAATTCGACTTTGGACAGGTCCAAGGAATAGGTATTTCATGATGTAAAAGAGCATTTAAGTCATTTCGACATTTTATCATTAATTGCGAAAGGAAGTCATTGTTTTGATCCCCATCACATCTCATCGATTTCCTAGCGTGATGAAGTTCTTCAGTGGCATATATATATATTGAGACTTACAGTATAAATTTGCTTCACATCATGGTTTACGAGTGGACTGCAAGAGTGAATTATTTATATAATAGCAGGCATACTTTCCTGCCTGCTTGGCTGTATTGTCAATCGACTTTTAAGGACTTCACTATCATCTCCAATCACAACAAATTCGCACAGATGCCTTATTCCATTCTGTATTTCTAGACAAAACGTAACTGATTACCATTCTTTAACATGGTTCGTCGGATTCGTCTGGAGTCTGAATCAATACTTTCGTCTGACATTTAGTCTTTGATTACTTTCCGTGATATGACAGGTGTTACATTGACAGGCCTATAATTGCATGCACTAGTTTTGGCTCCTGCTTCTTGCTTAGGTAGTATATACGTGTTTTTCCAAGTTTCAGGGTAGGTTCCAGTCACTAGTGAGAGGGTGAATATTCTAAGTAATATTACTATCATATCCGTCCCACCGTTTTTGTATATGACAGATGGTACATCATCTATCCCACAACTACTAGCTTTTATCGCTGATGCTATATTTTGTATATTGAAGTTGATTTCACCTAACTTGTAGTTATTTTTGCAGGTTATGTCGAGGATTGGGAATGGATGCTCTTTGGCGTTATTGGAGAACCACTGGTTTAGGAGTTCACAAATAATCTGGGGATCATCATAAATTATACCTTCATACTCCAAGTGGCCAACATGATTTTCTTTACCCTCTTTTAGTCGTTTTTGCAAGATCTTGCATAGTTCCTGAGTTTCAGAGGTGCCCCCTAGGGCCTTATTTTCCTCGAGTTGTGCCTTCATTCTATGTCTCTCCTCAAGATTTTTAATGTCTCATGTATCTGGTGTAATGCACTAAATTCTTTATATGAATAAAATTTTCTTTTCAGTTTCCTTATTTTTAATCGCGTTTTGCGGTCTATGAATAGAGCTGGTGTATTTAGGGCAGATTTTAGGGGTGCAACTTGTGTCTCTTATAGAACCGACCATCTTGTAGAAGGTATCAAGTGTTACTTCTAAGTTATCATTGGTAAAGTATTCATCCCAGCCAGAGCTTCTCAAGAGCGTTGGTAGGAATTGCCAGTCGGCATTTCTATAGTTCCTATATTGATAGTGAACCGGGGAATTTTCGGGTGTGTGTTTAGTTGTTAGTTGAAGAGGTAGGGTGCTGTACAGTATTTTGTGATCCCTGCTGTCGAGTTTATCCCCCAACTCTATCGAGATAGGCTCTATTTTGTGGCAGAGGACTAAGTCGAGAATATTGTTATGTTGTGTTGGGAGGCGTACGCACTGCTTCCACTCTCCTACATCTATAGCTTCTAGGAGCTATTCATGGACTCTAGGTCCAGTGCAGATAACTCAGTTCACTCCGGGGAGGTTAAAATCGCCACAAATTATTTTGTAGTCGAATTCCAGGGTAGGTACATGCTCTAGTATTTCTACGATAACCGTATCAGTCGTTTTAGGGCTGCTGGGGGCTCTGTATATACATCCCACTGGAATTTTATTTTCATTCGTGTGGATGCTAATCAGCTTAGATTCTGGGAGTTTGTCGATAGTTATGTTTGTAAAAGTATTGGAGTCAGTGGATTTAGAAGCACATATTAGACAGCCGCCTCCTGTTTTGACACCCTATTATCCCAACTAGAGATAGCTTAATATCAGGAGAGCAGTTCCTGTAGAATGAATTAGTGAGACACGGCGTGAATTCAGACGGAAAATAATTCTTTTAAACACACTTAAATGGCATCAAACCGAGTAGCTCAGTACCAAACACACTAAGCTGACAGGTAGGTTCCCTGTCCACTAAGAAAGCATTGAGAGCTACGTCAACAGATTATGATTAATGTTAAATGAATTTAGCGTAGAAACAGGACGAGACTCACTGTCACAGTAATCTTAAGTTGGACTGAATAATAACGATTGAAAGATACCTCAACAAAGCCACCGAACAGACCAATCAACCGTAATGGCAAATACGTACACAAACTTACCAATGGTGTTTACAATATTGCCATGGCTAATCACTCGTTTTTGTGGAGGGAGAAAACTTGAAATAAATGCTCTTGCGAGTAGTAGTTAGTCATTAGTTCATAAAGTGTAGTTGAACCAGAGTTTTCAGTTATCTGTTAAAACAGGCTAATTCGAGGAATTTCAAGTGAAACCTTTGGTTTCCGGTAAAAATGCTGTGCCTCCCAGAAGCTTCATATTCTTACTTCCCCATAGTTAGACATGCAGGAGGCATTATATCTTTTGCTTACTGATCAATTTAACAGTTACCTTGATAATATCAAATTTGTTTATTTATGTGGCTAATGAATATGAATGCATTTCTAGTTGCTTTGAACGTCAAGGACATTAGTGTGTCGGTAAGATGGTGTTTAGGGTTAATGGTCGTAATATGTTTCGATAGGTTTAGCTTAAAAACAGTAGCAATAGTTCTGGTAGTTTAAATGTGCAGTTAACACAAAAGCTAGCTAGTCGAAACTCGTCTATTAAGCAATTTTAGAGCACTTGAGGGAAAGTATGAGGGATTTGAGTTGTTTTAAATTTAGATGCCTCAAAATTACTTCTATATCTCTCTCCTGATGTTTTTAGTAGGAAACTGTTGAATTTTCTCAAAACTTTTACACTGCAGTGAGCCATGCATGCCTCAACATTTTTCTGTCAGGCGCCTCATTTGGATCGCAAAACGAAGAGGTTTAACGGGTCATGCATGTTTGGTCTTCTGCTGTTAGAAAATTATGTATATATATACCTTTTTAGGTTTATATGGATTGTTATTTACTGAGAGTAAGTGTCTACGATTCCTTCAGGATGAAATGTTACACAGTAGATATTATCCCAGCGTACGGCAATGCTAAACTATTTGTGAACTATATGTAAGTGGTGCAATTCAATATGGATGTTTTTTCTATTGAGCAAAAACTAATATGTACTGAATTAATGACTATCTGATGCAACCCGTTCTGAAAAATGCTACTCATTTTGCACTTACGTTGTTTTTGCTGTCTCCAGTTATTTGCGATGGTATTATGATGTGGATCGCCAGTCATTGATTAAGCCATCCACGGTTTACTCATTATTTCACCACCGTTGGTTAGTCACTCCCGCATAGCCGATCTCAGTAGCCAGTAAGAGCAGAGTTCTTGAGATTTTTGTTTCTTTCCTTTCTGCTTTTCCTGCAATTCAGCGAGTGGTACTCATTTCATGTTATGACTGCATCCTACTGCGTAACAACCGGTGGTACTACTTGTTTTTAATTACTTGTTGCATAAATCATTTACTTCATTTCTTGAACTGTAACAAGACCGACAATATTTAGGCTCACTGTTGTCGAAAAAATGGATGATATCTTTTGCAGTTTACCGAGTCATTTGAATTCAAGTATGCTTTCACGCTGTTTGTGACCGTTCATCATTAAAGTTTGTCACATTGTCTTTTGTTCTGTTTTGTTTCACAGGTTAGATTGATATGTCCGAAACTGTTGAATGTCATTTTTGCAAAAGCAAGTTTTCCGACCATGCGGAATATTGGAAGCATGTCTACGAGGAGGACTGTACCGCTCCACATAAGGAGATAAGTCTCTCTACTAGTGATTACAACACAAATATTCAGAAATCAAATTATGATGTTTCCAGAATACGTGACAACTTACAGGTTCCAAATGGACACTCTAGTGAAATCAATTTTTACACTAGGTCAACAACATATAATGGTAGTGAAAAGTCAGTTAAGGAAGATAAAACTAACCGTGTTTATTGTTCTATATGCGAAATATATATGAGACCACGTGATGTAATGAATCACGAAAGCGGGAAGAAGCATCTAAAGAGGGCAGGCGCTTTGAGTTTAAATGCATGTAGACCTGATGCGTTTCAGTATATTGCAGAAAGCTATTTGAATACTAATTACCCAACAAGTAATCATGTACAGTGCCTTAGTGAATCCGGAGAAAGTAGCGTTTCCAAGTCTCAGAATCTACCAAGAAATGTAGTTCAGACGCAGAAATGCGATATCGATTCCGAATATATTGAAGATGAAGCTATGCGTGAGTTGGTCGAAAAACGGTGCAAAGATGTTTCAAATGAAATAACTGTCAAGTCAGTGTTACGTAGAATGTGCATGATTGGAATTTCATCTCAGCTAACTGAGATTATTGGGGATGGGGATCAAAACAATGACTTCCTTTCGCAATTAATGATAAAATGTCGAAATGACTTAAATGCTCTTTTACATCATGAAATACCTATTCCTTGGACCTGTCCAAAGTCGAATTCACAGGCCAATGGCACATCAAAACATAAGACTGATCATAGTCATAATATGTCGTTTGATCACCTCTTATTATGGATTAAACAACTTCATATTTTGGAGAACGGTTAGATTAACTCAGTGATGTATTTGTATAGATTTTATATCTGAGTTTTCAGATATAATGAGTTATAAAAATGCAAGTGTTTATTTATTAAAATGTGTATTCTCTTCTTCGATAGTCGGTGTTTAAAACTGATTGTCATTACTGTTTAGAATGTTTACAACATTCGTTTACTCTCGTCAAGTTTTATCAGCTAAAATGATCTCAGGAGAATGTATCACTGAATCTACACTTTGTAACTTAAGGTGATGGACATGTCTCTCAGTGTGATACTTAAGTGTTGCATGCTTTTCAAGTTATACCTTACCGAATATGTTTCTATACTGTCATTGGTTTTTTTGGAATTGTGTTGGTGGGTCCTCGTAAATCTCAACCAGTTACTAAAAAATAATTCTAAGATGAAACAGTCACGAGAAGACCAGTTAAGTTAGGGATCCTTAAATAGTTGTCTACTACTATCGTTAAGATAAGGAGTCAATACTTCTTCCTTTGTATCGACACGTTTCGGTGTGCATTTCATTTTCAGACGTCAAAAATATGCGAAAGACTTGTAGTTACCCATCCCAGCGTGTTATGGCGTAAGATGATTAGGTTTAATAATATTTTGCCCTCTGCACTACGCTTCCGAGGACGAGATATGCTTTCAAACAGTTGCTTCCGCGCTATTAATTTTCTTGTCTTCACTTATTGTGATTAGCTGGTGTCATGTACTATGCGTGAACACTGCAAAATTCATAGTCTTCACGGATTCCAGTGTTTCATCGAGTGTCATCCACTAGGCATTTATTAGTCATATGAAATAAAAGGCGTTCAGTGAGAGGTTACTCTTTTCAACGATAACATTCTCAAGTTGTACAGTAGCATATATATATATATACATATATATAGTAAATTTTCTTAGCAACAAAATGAATATTTTCAAAAGTTTGTCATTAGAACTGTAAATTTTAGATAACAAATTTCGTTCATTGTTTAGAAACTAAAGCGAGATTAAATAAGCTAGTTGAGTGATGTAATCTAATTGACGGGGTTGAGTAGAGCTCAACTAAAATTGAAATTGAACAAAAGTCAACTTGACAACAGTGGTGATTAAGAGTGGAGATTTAATAAGGAGTGGAGGTAGAAAATACTATGCAATTAAGAAACAAACAAGCAAGAAAAAGACGAAACAAAAATCGCGTATTTGGTTTTAAGACGGGTCATGTCCACTGTAGATTTAATGACTGAACAAACGTCTTTTGTTTGCAGAGTTGAGGTTTTAACATGTGAATTTCCATTGCTTCTGCAGTTTGAGGAAGTTTGATTCGTACCTTTTTAACAAGGTTCCCACGTATTTTGTAGTCAAATTTGAAGTTGCTTGGTGTCTTGATTCTATCAGGTTTTCCAGAATAGAGCTTCTCCTTCCTCCTTCATAAAACCTTGATGGTAAGTGTTCGATGATATGTTTGGATAGCAAACGCTGGGTACGACTGACATACCTAGCTCCACACGAGCAGGTAGATGCATATTGATAAGGCCAACAGTGGTAGCTTATCCTTCCCGTTGATGCGGATCATTGGTTTTGTAGAGAAGGTTAGTCGAAATTCAGCCGTGAAGAAGGTTTTCTTCAGTGAGCGGGACAGTCGGTTTCTTAGTATTTTTATTACTGAGTTTCTATTTAATTGTAGATTCAGGTAGAGTAGTTTTTTGGAAGCAGAAAATGTGGGCGGTTTCGGTGGTTTAGGTCTCATAGATTTTGTAATAAAACGTTCTGGGTAACAATTTTCGAGGAGGATTCTCTTCAGAGTGTTTAGCTCCTCTTCCATAGTATCAGGGCTGCAAATGCTGTGGATTCTCTGGCTCAGTGAATGGATCAGGTGTCGTTTTGTATGTAAGGGCACCCAACTGTGAAAGTTAGTAAGTTGTGCGTCCCATGTTGGCTTTCTGTAGATGGGTCTTTTTAATGTTCCATCTTCTTTATGTCTTGTTAATTCCACGTCCAGAAAAGATATTTTTGTGTCGGATTCCTTCTCTAGTGTGAATTGAATTGCTGGGTGGCAGCTGTTGAAGAAGTCCACGATGTATTCCAGTTTATTAGAGTGAATAAAACGCATGTCTGCTAATAGGATGCTGCTCATTGCCCAATGATCCGATCATTCCTTACTGACCTTTTCTTATCTAATCATTCAAAGGTCATTAACTTAACCCTTGTAATTGTTTTACACGATGTGAGTTGGTTAGAAGTTTCAGTTCTTTATTTTTATTTTTTCAGTTTGACCTTTAATAATAATAATAATTTGCTTTATTCCAAAACAGTACATGTGACACAGAATGGAATTCTCAGCATTTGTCACAGTATTGCATCCAGTTAGTACATTATCAATAAATAGAATTCTATATAGATTAAGGAAATCTCAGTTCATTATTACAGCAACACATTGGCATGTCGGTAGCAAGGTAAAGCTGAACAGTGTTTGAAGGTGTCAGAAAAGTAGGAGCTGTCATATTTACTGGCGTAAGCGAGAGAAAGAAACAAAGCAGCACATAACGGAAAAAAGAGAGAGAGAAAAGGAAAAGAAAGAAAGAAAATGTTGTACCTATAAATGATAGGAGTTGGAAAGACGAGATCCAGTTGTACTACTGACTATTGAATGAATTATAGGTGTCACGCCTAATGCTTTCTTTATCACACAGAACACGAGCTAAGTAGGGTATGGTTGAGTTTTTGTACTTGCTGGTGCGAGCATATAGTTTTCTATATAGGCTTCTGGTTTTACCTGATGAGATGCAAGGGGAGAGTTGTGAGTGAAGAGAGTTGAGTGAGTCAGATAAAATGGATTTGGCCCATTTTTCACATGAGTTCATGTGCCCGTCAACCAGAATATTAACAAGCTGGTTAAGTGGCACGTTGCTTACCCTGCTGACAACCTTTAACATCCTGTGTAATATGTTATAGTCTTTCTTCAGTAGCCCTGGAAAAACTAAGGGGGAACAATAGAGAATAATAGGCAGAATGCGAGAGTTAACGAATTGTAGGAGTAAGGGTTGGGTTATACCAGAATGTTTTAACTTCTTGATGGTAAAGGTAAGGCGGAATATTTTCTTAGGAATCGCCAAGATATGAGACGACCAGGAGAGATCAGCAGATAGAATGACGCCTAGGTATTTAATTTCCGATTTGGTTTCTATTTCAGTGCCATCTCTGTTGCACACCTCGTGAGAGCTAACCAGTTTGTTTAGGTCGGATTTATGCCTAAAGGTGAAATTGACTGTTTGGCATTTGGAGGGATTTAAGGTAAGACCGTTTTCCTTGGACCACTGGCTGATTTCTGACAGAAAGCCATTAAGTTTAGAGCAATCACTTTGACATTTGACAGGCAAAGATACAGTCAGATCGTCAGCATATTTGACAAAATTAATGTCATTTGAAGATGGTAAGTCATGTAGAAAGAAAGAAAAGAGAAGTGGGGAGAGTACAGCACCTTGGGGGTGTGGACGACACCAGCTTCAGTGAGCACAGCAGAGGAGGATTTACCTTCGTATACGGTGTACTGCATTCTGTTTGAGAAATATGAATGCAACCAGTTTGTGACCCATGACTCAATTTGTGTCATCGAGAGCTTATTTAGCAAGAGACATCTAGGTACAGAGTCAAAAGCAGAAGTGAAGTCGAGATACGTGCAGCGGACGTATTCGGCACCTTTATCTAATGATGAGACGACACTGTTGTGTAAGACGGCTGCAGCATCTAAAGTGCTCCTACTCTGTCTATATGCAAATTGTTTGGGGTCTTCAAAGTTTTTAAGGGAGGGTTCAGGCTTAAGAAGCACTAGTTTTTCCATAAGTTTTAGAAGCGGGGAAGTGATGGCAATGGGTCTGAACTTTACGTTCTTGCTGTTTCCAGGGTTAGGGACAGGGACTACTTTAATGTCTTTCCATGCATCATCAGGTACGACACTTTTGGAGAAAGAAGCATTTAGGATGTTATTTAATGAAGAACATAAAGCATCTGCACATTGTTTTAGAACATATGCAGGTATACCATCAGGGCCAAGGCTACGTGAGGGCTTGAGCGTTTTAAGACATTTTAGAACATGGAGAGCATTAAAGTCATGAAAGTTATCAGCTACATGATAGGTAATATTAGAAGTAGTTATAGTAGAAGGACAGCGTATAAAAGACTGATTAAGAGCATTAACATCATGAGATGGAAAAGCATTACAACGCTTACTATTGTCAGTAATTTCATTAAAAGGTTTCCACATGCTGATAGGAGATTTGCATGATAAAAGTGTATCGTTGTAGATAGCATTAAGATTTTTGATTTCAGATTTGATTTGAGCATTAATCTTTTGAAGTCCTAACTTATGTTTGGATTTATATAATGTTTTTTTTGCCTGCAAAGTTGTTTGAGATAAGGAGATGAGAAGCGGTCGAGACGTTTGAATAGTGTTCGCTTGGGACAGCATATATCAAGGTAGAACTTAAGATAATCCGTTATATTGACAATTGTGTCATCCAGTGAACTTTCATGGAATAAATCCCAGTTAGTATTCTTTAACATGCACCTTAGATTGAGTAAGTTGTCAGATGAGTAGCATCTTTGTTGTGCTTTCATAGAAACATGTTAGGAGACTTTATTGTGTATTTTGCTGTATATTTTTGGTAAAACACGAACAATAGAGTGATCGGAGTTGAAGATCGGTGCACGTTTACGTGTTTCATATATTCCTTCGTCATTTGTAAAAGCTAAACCAAGTGTTTTGTGAAGTCGAGTGAGAAATTCGACAATGTTTGAGTGACCAAGTGCTTCAAGGAAAGAGCAGTCTGACGAGTTGAAGTCCCCAGTAATAACAGATAGAGAGTTATCGAAGTTGCCAGCGGCAAACATAGTGAATTCGTCAGCGAAATTTGAAAGATTAGATAGTAAGCAGCTTGGAGAAATGTACATGTTAGTAACAAAGATATGTTTATATTTGGGGAGATGTTTGGGACGACATTTGACGGTAATACAGTCTATGAAGTCATTTGAGAATGAGAAGCAGACAAATCAAATAACTGTCCTATAAAATTCATTAGGAAGATTAGAAAAGGTCAAAATAAAAGTAAAAATAATG